TGTGAAATCATCAATGTTAATGGCAAAACCTAGAAACAACCTGAATGCCCATCAAAGAGAAATAGCTAAATAAATACGATAAATGCTATTCAGCAGTTTAAAAATTAATTGATCTATATATATCAACATGGAGAGATTTCAAAATATTTTGCTGACTGACAAAAAATTAGAAGTATCATATAATGATACCACTTATCTAAAAACTTACTAAAGATACTATAGAGTATGATACCATTTATCTAAAACTAACAAAAATACTACTACACATTCCAGCATTTCTGTTGACACAGAAACAAGTAAATTCAACAAATAAGTGTGGCTATGGGAGTGGACAGGAGAGGCTGGGGCTGAGAAGAGAAGTAAAGAAGAAGGTTAGGTTTATGTATAATGCTCTAATTTTTAAAAAGGTAATATATTCCTGTACCACACAATTAAAGAGTAACAAATACAATGTTTAAGTAATCAACTCTCTTTTATAATGTGAAATTTGTTATATTTTTTAATTTATATTTGTTATTCATATTATTATAGCTGTTAATAGTACACATTTACAAAACATAGGTTCCAGCTCCTGGTAATAGAGTAGCTTATATAAGACTAACCCACAGACCAATAACAATTACAAATTCTAGTCAGAATTTCTTTAATTAAAAAAAAAAGCTATTTGAAGGCTAGTAACAAAAAGCTGGCAGAAATAGGAGAGGATTCAACCACGGAAAGAAAAGAAACATACTGGGTGAGATCCACATTCATACAGCTTTCCCCATGAGGTACTACAGTCAAAACTGTAGATGCACAATAAAAAGATCTCAAATCGAAAACTACAGTCTTGCCGGATGGAGATGAAAGTGTTTGTGGCTACTGAAGCAACCAGAAATTGAGGGAGGAATCCTGGTAAGGAGAAAGCCACATACACAAAAAAAGGGAAGCCCCCAAATCTATGTAAACATCCCTTCAAATTCTTGAATAAGCCCTTAACTGTTCATACAAGATGCAAGATTCCATAGAGTTTAGTGAGGAAAATAACAGATGAAAAGCTGACACAGATTTTGAGAGATACTTACTGTAGAAGAGACAAAAGTTTCAAGTTTGAGACTTTTGAATAAAACCCTAGAAAGGCCGTATCTTAGGAAGAAAGACCACAGGCTAGTACTAAAGTTTAACTCTAAGTTTAAGAACAAAACTGAAATAGACTCACTTTCACAAAGACTAAAAACCAGTCTATGACAAATACTGTATGATTAAGGAGCTACCTAGAACAGACAAAGTCATAGAGAAAGAAAGTAGAATAAAGGCTACCAGGGCCTAGAGAGAAGGGGGAATGGGTAGTTTAACAGGTACAGAGTTTTCTGCTTGGGATGATCAAAAAAGTTATGGAAATGCATAGTGGTGACAGTTATACAACACTGAATGTACACAGTACCACTGAATTATATACTTAAATACTGTTAAAATAGTAAATTTTATGTTATATATTTTTTACCACAATAAAAAAAGGAAAAAAAGTGCTAAAAGAAAAAAAAAAACCTGACAATGTAGAAGTCTGTATCCAACAAGAAATTATATTTCAAAAGTAAAGGCAAAATAAAGATTTTTTCAGGGGCGCCTGGGTGGCTCGGATGGTTAAGCATCTGCCTTTGGCTCAGGTCGTGATCCCAGGGTCCTGGGATCGAGTCCCGCATCGGGCTCCCTGCTCCTTGGGAGCCTGCTTCTCCCTCTGCCTCTCTCTCTCTCTCTCTATCTCTATCTCTCACGTCTTTCGTGAATAAAAAAAAAAAAAAAATCTTTACAAGATTTTTTCAGATAACAAGCTGATTTTTCACCATTAGACCTACCACATTATCAGAAATGCTTGTTCTAAGCTGAAGGGAATAATACCAGATAGAAATTCACATCTACATATGGGAATGAAATATTATGTGAGAAACTATGTAGAAGATTATTTTAGAATAAACCTGAGAAAGACATTCTGAAAACTTTTGGAACACTGAAAGGGAATAAAAACCTACCAATGATACCCTCCCAAAACCAAAAAAGGTTTGATTGAGGATTAGGCAAGTGCCCAATATAGGACAGCATTTAAATTTTTTTTAAATCTAAATAATAGTTATAATTTCTCCTCCCAAATTCACTATAGGTCAATACTATTCTTTTTTGTAAAAAAAAAAAAAAAAAGTATTAGTCATTGATGAATCCCTAGAAATTAAAACAAATAAAAGCCAAAATTACAAATTCATCAGAAGTAGAAGGTTTAGGAACGCCTGGGTGGCTCAGTTGGTTAAGGGTCTGCCTTTGGCTCAGGTCATGATCCCAGGGTCCTGGGATCGAGTCCCGCCATCAGGCTCCTGCTTCTCCCTCAGCCTGCCACTCCCCGTTCATGTGCGCTGCGCTCTCTCTCTCTGACAAATAAATAAATCTTTAAAAAAAAAAAAAAAAAGAAGAAGAAGAAGAAGTAGAAGGTTTAGGGGCACCTGGGTGGCTCAGTCCTTAAGAATCTGCCTTCGGCTCAGGTTGTGATCCCAGGGTTCTGGGATTGAAACCCACATTGGGCTCCCTGCTCCACGGGAAGCCTGCTTCTCCCTCTCCCCCTGCTTGTGTTCCCTCTCTCCTGTGTCTCTCTCTGTCAAACAAATAAGTAAAATCTTAAAAAAAAAAAAAAAAAAGAACTTCTGCTTGAAGCATTTATTCAAGTAGAATTTAAAAAAAAAAGAAGTAGGAGGTTTAGGAGATAAAACTGAAGACATTTCTGAGACAGGAGGACAAAAAAGATTTCAAAAAGGAGAAAAAATAATTATTGAAAGAGATATAAGGGATTGGAGCATAAGATCCAACATCCAATTCACAGAAATTAGAAAAATAAAATAGAGAAAAGATAAGGGATGAGATTAATATACAATTTTTTTTAATTTCCCCAAAACTAAACCACATGAATCTCCAGATTAAAAGTACTCAGTACTCAGTAAGTATCAGGCATATTGAATAAAAAAAGACCCATTCTAAGACGCTTCATTGTAATATTAAGAACACAGGAATTAAGGCTTCTTTCCAAAAATGAAAAATACACCACAAAAAACTGGGAATCAAAATGCATAACAGCAAGACTGAAAACTAGAACATAAGAGAACAAGTTCTTCAAAACCTAGGGAAAACAATTTCTAGTCTTGATTATACCAAATAAGGGAATAAAAAAAGAGAGAAAAAACACATGAGATTCAGGAAACAGAGAACCTGATATTGGAGGGATGAAAAAGAAATCCAAAATGATGGTGAGGTAAAGACCAGAGATGACAGTCATGCAGCAGGCTTACTGAGCACCCATTCTAGACGTGAAGGTGCCAAGTGGCATGTCTCCAAGGAAAAACAAAATGGAACTATCCAACGACCAGATTTGTCTGGGTGACATAAGAACTCTACATAAATTCCACTGGGAGATTTTAAGACAGAATTAGTGGTAGGGACTATGAGAATTAGAACTCTCATACTCCCAGTTTGCCTACCATGCATGTATTTCCCTTCCCTCCAGTCTCCCTATATTACAATGTTCAGCTACATGAGTGCTCACTTTGAATATAATATTATTAAGAACTGATCCTTAGGGGTGCCTGGGTGGCTCAGTCGATTAAGCAACTGCCTTCAGCTCAGGTCATGACCCCAGAGTCCTGGGATCCAGCCCCATGTCCAGCACTCTTCTCAGCAGGGAGCCTGTTTCTCCCTCTCCCTCTGCCTGCCACTCCCCCTGCTTGTGCTCGCTCTCTCTCTCTGTCAAATAAATATATAAAATCTTTAAAAAAAAAAAAGAACTTTATTATATACCTGCTATGATATATAATTATTTCTTTTTTATACAACTTGGTCTCCTTGGATTTAATGATTCCCCATTTTTTCATTTGATTATTTATAGTCATAGATGACTATGATAGAAAACAAAAATTTAACTTAAAAAACAAGTAGTATATGTTTTCAATATTTGTCTTTTATGCATAAATATATAGCTATAATTTCATTTTTAAAAGACATAAAATACACATTCACACATATATATTTATAACTCAGTTTTCATTTTTCAAAGTCATTAGATTTAATCATTATCAGACATTAGTCTTGATAACAATTTCTACTTACTACATAACATTTCATCATATGATAATTTACTTACATTCCTCTCTGATGGACGTAAGATTTTTTTTCAAATTTTTTGATATTCTTAATAATGCTTATTGAGAACTACATAAATTTTTGTCTATATTTCTAATGTCAAGTTCCTACAAGCAGAGTAAGTTTCAGGCTTTGCTCTATATTACTTAGCTGTCCTCCAAAATTTCTGCCAATTTTATATTTGTACCTCCAGTGTATTATGTTCATCTCATCACACACTTATGAGCAGTAATACAGTATTTTTAACTCTTTCACAAATTAGGAGGGAACAAATTTAACATGTACTCACTTGAATTTCCCTACTAGTTATGTTCTATTATCTATTTATGACTTTTGATCATTTTTCTTTTGGGGTATTATTTGTATTTGTGTGGTTTTTATTTTAATATACCTTTTCATAGATTAAGGATATGTATCACTTTGTCATATTTATGGTAAGTGGTTTTTATCAGTCTTAACTCTTACGTAGTTACACTTTTGTTCTTCCTTCTCTTGCACTTGGTCCCCAGAAAAGCCCTCCTCAGGCCAAAGACAGATAAATGTTGACCTGTGTTTTCTTCTCTCTCTCTGAGGGGGTAGTATTAAGATTTTATTGTTAGTAATTATTTTAAGTAACCTAAAAGGGATCCTTTAGCAATACTTCTATAAAAGCATGAGAATGGGGGGATCCTCAGGAATATAAAAGTGCCTTAAAATCAAATAACTTTCTATGTATCTTTTAACTATAAATATTTTGACATATAAGCTTCCTTTCTTAAATATCAGAGTACTATGTGGATTAAAGCAATGTAACACTTCCAGGTATATATGCCAGTACAGCTTAATTTTGAAAAGTTTTTACTCACTTGTGGTCATGATGTTAGGAGGGCAAGAGGGTATTCCATGATCTACTGCCCATCTGTAGGCTCCTTCTCCAACTAAAAAGCTAACAACAGAAAAATTATTCTTTTAAAAATTCAGTCTCATCTTCTTCATATTCAATAAATATAAATCATACAGTAAGGCAAATGAAAAAATGTCTTGCATATAGATATAATTCTAGGTTTACTTCAAAATAATAATATGGCTATAGGCCCCAAATTTTAAAATTTTCCCCAAGTTAGAAATTTTACAATTGAAAATGGTACAATTTCATTTGCAATAACCACCAACTAAAAATTGGCAAAATTCAACATAAGAAGTAAAAAAAAGTTGATTTCCCAGTGGAAAATATTAAGATTTATCTTGGATCATCATGGTCACAAGATCCATTTAATCAGGTTAAGAATTAAAGTTTCAGTGAATGTTTTCAGATTTGGTAATTTTGCCTACTGTAACAACTGGATCTACTCAAAATGAGTGAGTACATCCAGAGATGCCCAAAACAATGAGATGTACTTACATTTGCAAGCCTTGGTGCAACAAAAATACACATATGACCTGTATGTATGCCCCTCAGATCATTTCTACTGTGGTAAGTATATGGTGTGTACCAAAAGTAATTTTTCAAGCCTTAAACTGCAAGTTTTAACATAAAGAAGTAAATAAAAGGATATTGTTAGCTAACTGTAAAAAACTTATTTTCAAAGACTTCAAATAGCATTCAGGATAATTAACCACTCCATTCATTCCCTAACACAGTAATAGCAAGCAGTTACCATAATAATCACTTCATCTCCTTCCATAGCCAACTTCTTAAAGATCTCAGCCAGCTAGTAATGGGTTTCCTTGAATTTGTGCCTGCTCATTAGTTTTCTACTCCCTATTTTTTGTTTCTGTTCATCTAATCATTCCAACACTAAAACTCAAAGTAATGCACATTGAAGTCTTTAGATTCATTTGTTAAGAAGAAGACCAGCAAAACAAAATCTAAGAAGCCACTCAAAAACATCCGAATAGTTCTAGTGAGAAACTAAATACTTAAGTCCAATAACTACTTTCCAATATACATAAAGGTAGGAGGCATTGAAAAAAGAGGAGGGCCAACAAGAATAAAAAACTTTACCCCTTCAAACTTCCATATTTTTTAAATTCTAAAGGATTCTGAAAGTAGAAAACAGTTTGTCCTATTCTTCTACCAAATGAAGACCACTGCATAGAATATGCAAAGAAAAGCTGTCACATAAAGTTCAAATGGAAGAATAACTGAAATAGAAACTTGAATGCGAGTTGAGCCGTCCTGATGGCATTTTTAGCACTTCCTTCTTCTAGAAAAGGAATGTGATATAAGAAATAACTTCTCTTCCTGTGAAGATGTAAAAGAGATGCCAAAGTAACATATTAAATGATGAGAAGTTTGAAGCTAAATCTTAGCACACCCATTGGCCATCTTGGGTTCAATCCCTGTATCTGGAATCAATGGCATTTTACAAAACATTCTTAGTTTTATTTTTCATTTCTTAAACAGTCATTGCTTTTAAATTAAATCAATTTGCCATTGGCTGCTATGCAAGTTTTTAAAATAGTTGAGGCATTTTACAATATTCACAGGAAGTTGACTATCTGAATGCCATCTTATGGATAAGAATACTGAATATCTGACCTTTCCTTACTATCAAAAATGATCTGTCTAGTAGTTAATAATCACACAAAATGGCATATAAGTGCTTTTGAAATCATTTTAAAATTCTGAAAAGCTACATGATACTAACATGTCCAAAAAAATCACTTTCTAGAACATTAAATGCAGTATCAATTCACATTTCTTTCAGTCTTAATGACTCTCCAAGGAGAAAACTTTTAGAGAAATTTTGTCTCAATCAAGTTAGGAAATCCCATAGACTCTACCTTTGTAATATATCCAGAATCTGACCATTTCTCACCACCTCTCCTGCTACCACCTTTGTCTAAACGACCATCATCTGTTACCTGGACTGTTGCAATGGACTCATACTTTCATGTATGCCTTGCTTTGTTCCCTGTCCCAGCCTATGCTCACCAGCCACTGACATCCTTGTAAAACACAAGTCAGACAATGACATTCCTCTTCTCAAAACCTGCACAAACCTGGAGTTTTCATGAGAATCCCAAGTGATCTGATCCTTTCTGCTCCCTCCTTACCTCATCTCTTAGTCTTCTTGCCCCCTGGCTTACTCTACTTCAGCCTCCCCAAAACACAAATATGCCAAAGAACTTCCAGTCTCAATCCTTCACCCTGAATGTTCCCTCTATCACACTCGTCCTTATTTCCCAAATGGTAAATTCCCTCATCTGCTCAAATGTATCCCCTTAATGAGACCTATTTAAAACTGTACCCAACTACCTATCCAGGACTCCCAATCCCTGCCATTTTGCTCTTTTCCACATTTTTCTTTTTTCTACCTTCTAACGTACTAGACACTTTATAATTTACATATTATATCTATTATTTACTTCTATCTTCCCCAAAGAAACCGCAAGCTTCATAAGAGTGGGAATCTTTGTTTTTTCACTGATATATCCAGGCATTCGCGACAGTGCCTAAAGCAAACTAAGCATCAAATAAACATTGGCAAGATACTAAACAAATAGTAATAAACTAGGGTGTCAAAATTCCTTAAGGGACAGCGTTTTCCTTGTGTTATGCTGAAAACAAGTCCAACATGATGTAAAACAAAAAGCAACAACACTCTACTGAGAGCAGCCCTGAGGTGGGGTGATTGAAACCTTCAACAAGCCGTACTCTAACTGCTGCTGCCAACGCTAGCACAGCCAAGCCTCCTAGAAAGAGCTATTTGGGCAAATATGAGATGTGAACTGCAACCTCATGGATGGCAAACCACCCATTTCCAAAGAACCATGACTTTATCATCAGTCTAAAAACGTGTCATCTTGTGATTTAGAAAGCTCTCAAGAATGCTCAGAGATCCCAATAATCAAAATATGTTATTCTGGATGAAAAGATACAGGAGAAAATGAGAGCTGTTTCTTTGGACTTAAAAACTGATTTCTATCTATTTTACCTATCGTTTCCTTATTCATCATAAATATACAAAATTGAGGAAAGACAAATTAGTAGGTACTGATCATTTAAAGCTTATAAAGTGAAAATAAAGGGGAACTTGTGGTATTTGGAAATAATATACCAACCAAACTAAATAGTAAGAATTTAACTCTTTAAAAGATTTTTTTAATTTAATTTTAATTTTTTTACATTTGAAAAATGGCTTTTTAAACATGGGTGGTTCAGTCGGTTAAGCATCTGCCTTCGGCTCAGGTCATGATCCCACGGTCCTAGGATCGAGTCCCACATCAGACTCCTTGCTCGGTGGGGAGCCTGCTTCTCCCTCTGCCTGCCACTTCCCCTGCTTGTGCTCTCTCTCTCTCTCTTTCCCTCTCTCTGACAAATAAATAATCTTTTAAAAATAAATAAATAAATAATTATTTCTTAAAAAACAGAACCTCAGCATAAGCAATTGACATAAAAAAATGAACAATCTTTAGAATCAAAATATATCTCATCAATGTTCACATTTTTCTGGTTGTCTTATAAAATGTTTTCTATTATTGTTATTTTGTTATTTAAACTTTGGTTTAAATGGGAATCTATCTAAATCTCTACCTCCTGATTAGTTAATAGATCTCTTATGTTTCTTTTAATCTTTCATTTTTGAATTGTCTTTTTTTTGTCTTTTCACATTCATACAACAAAAGTAGCACAAATTTGAGTGAATTTATGAAATATAATAGATTAAATAGAACTTGAAAATAAACAATGTACCAAAAACTAAATATGTCTCTGAAAAAAATCCTAAGGTCTAATTGAGCACCTTAAGATTTCATTTATACTAAACATAAAACAATCTTTGTCTACCTTTTCCTTTCTCATCAAAAGAAACATAATTTCCAAAAATTATAACTTCTATATTAGGAGTCAGCAAAGTTCTTCTGTAAAGGGCCAGACAGTAAATAGGTTGGCTTTGTAGCCACAGTGTTTCTTTTGCAACAACTCTATTTGGCCTTTGCAATGCACAAGCCATAGACAATACATATACAAATGGGTAAGGCTGTGTCCCAATAAAACTTTATTTACAAAAGCAAACAGACCAGATTTGGCCCATAAGCCACAGTTTGCCAATTCCTGTTCTAAATGATAATGCTTATCAAAGCTGTACCCTATCATAATGGAAAAAGAAAGATTCAAGCTATACTTTTATAAATAAAGAAACTTGGGTAAATGTGACACAGGTTATGATGGTAGTCCCACCAAGTTTATGAAGATACCAAATACTCTACAAATCTGACCAAACACCAAAACTGAAACAATACAACATCATGGTGGCTATAACCAAAAACTAAGGTATACAGCTAAATGAACTTTTTATTTAAAGAACTCTTAAAAAACACCTATTGTATGTAATGCCTTGCCATCCCCATACAGTGGTGACAGATAACACCAGAGGACCATGATTTCTAAGTGTTCCATCTGCCTTTGACAGTTTTTGTACCTTTATGCCTGGCACACAGATAATGAGCAATAAATATTTGCTGAGTGAAGGGGAAATGAATGAATAATTAAATAGGTGTAAATAGTTACTTCTCATTATTATAAGAGGATTCCATTTTCCCTTTACTTCTAATCTGCTGCTTCTAATGTGATATGAAAGGACTCCAAATTTTTCTAATAGCCTAAAAGTGGTCAAGTGTGGGACTCAGTTTCATTATCTGCAAAATGTGTCTTCTCTTCATAAATCATTGTATAATTTTTATGAGCTAATGCATGCAAAACACATAAAACAGTGCATGATATAGTGTACAAATGCAACAAATGTTAGCTATTATCATTACAGAAATTAGATAACTAGACTTATTAGGGTCATATGAAAATAAGCTCAAAGTAAAAACATGATAAATTTGGTTTTGTTTATTTAGGACACTCAAGGAATTTTTTTCTCAATTACTGAAGGTATACAATAAACTTCCAGGAATATGAGAGATTTCTGCTTCTGGACAAGGTGGAATAACAGG